GTGTTGGGGGCCCTGTTCTCAGCGCCGACCTCCGCCCCACAATGCCCCGTAACCTTCTCTGAGGTGCGACCAGGAGCCTGAAGCTTTACTTTCCTAATGAGGCTGCCAGGTGGAAGCCAGGAAGTCCTTAGTGGGGGCTGGATGTGATGTGAGCACATGGAGCAGGGGTGGCCGTGCATGCTTGCACCTGTGTGTGCAGACACTGTGTACGCAGGTGTTCCTGTGCACAGGGTCTGGCATTCAACTGGCTTTCAGTTCATGCTTGGCGAATGAGTGAATGAACTTCTGTTTTGCTGAGACTACATGTGCATGAAGAAGCGAAGTAGCACCCGGCTGTGCCGTAACACAGAGTGCTTTGGGCCCTTTCGTTCTGAGCTCCTAGCCAGGGCCCAGGGAGGGTAGGGACTCCGTCTCCAAAGAGATGGGAAAATGTTCAAGGAACATGGAGTGGCATTGGTTCCTTCACCTTGAAAAAGGAAAAAAAATACAGTAGCCTCTTGGAAGCCCCACTTCCTCCTGGGCCTCAGGGAACAGGGCAGCCCTGGCTCCTCCCTGGGAGCCACCCCACCCTGCCCCTCCCAGGGGATGACAAGGGAGCGAGTTGGCGGCAGTTCCCTGGGCATATTTATAACCTGCTGCTCGCTCACCAGCGTCTGCTTTTAGCCCAGACGGGGGAGGGGGCAGGGGGGTGGTCTGTCTCCTGCTGGGCGCCCCGGCTGGGTGTGGAAAGAGTGAGTAAGGGTGAGTGGTGGGCAGCTCTGCATGGATATTCCTGCTCACACCACAGCCAAACAGCTTATTTTCTCCTCATTTTGTTATTTTTCTCCCTCTGCGCTGGAGAGGACTGAGCCAGCCTGGGGCGAGGGGGGAGGCTTTGGGGGAGGCTGGACCCTAGGGTATTTGCAGCCCCACTGACAGGGTTTTTCCAGGGTGCGTGTGGCAGGGTGTGTGTGGCGCTGGCTTGCTGACCCCCTGGGGACTGTGCACAGCCTGCCTTTCTTCTCAGCTTTTCCACTCCCCCCAGGATATTTCAGGACTAGTCTCTCCCTCACTTGCTCAGGCCAACCTATGTCCAGGGTCCTGGCACCTGATGATCAGAGGTGGTGAGAGCTGGCGCATCAGGCACAGTCCTGATGACACCATCCTATGGCCACCACCCTGAGCCCACTCTGGGCCCTGAGACCTTTGTGAGTCCTCTTTCTAGGCACAGCTGTTCTCCCCAGGATGTACCTGCTCCAGCCGTGTGTGAGGACGGCACAGATGATCACAATAACAAAATGATTTGCTTCTATGTAGTGCTTTGCAGAGCCCTCTGGACTTTGACGTGTGTGTGTGTGTGTGTGTGTGTGTGTGTGTGTGTGTGTGTGTATCAGTGCCTGTTGAGGGCCCAGCCTCATTCTGCACTTCCCAGCACCATCACCTTTGAAACTCCAGCCCTTGGAAGGGAAGGGCCTCCATGATGAGGGCTTGAGTATAGGAGTCTGTCCTTAAACTTCACGTATGTACAGAGGGCTTTACATTTCACTGATCCTCCATTGCACTCCCTCCACTATACTAACAGTATCTGTGGGTGTGCTTGATCCCCTGGCCAGATGTCAACCTCCTCCAAGCAGGCACTGTGGTTTATAAATTACTGTATCGCCAGCATTTGGCAGATGCCTGGTACAGAAGAGGTGTCAGCGCGTATTCAAATAACCCAGGCTTTCATGTACATCATCTCATCTGAACCTCATCACCTCTCTAAAGGGTTAAGTAACAATAACCATCCCCGTTTGATAGAGAAGGCAACCGAGTCTGAGAAAGTACGAGATTTGCTGAAAGTCTGGTTAGGGACAGAAAGGAATGCACCACTTTCCCTTGCTCTTCCTCCAGCTCCTGTTTGTCAATCCAGTTCAGAGACCCCAGCTTCCAGGCCTGAAAGCTGATACTGACTCCAGTTCTTGGAGTTCGAACTGAGGTGAGAGTGGTGACTGCCAATGCTTTGACTCTACCCCGCTGCCTCTTCCCAACCGTGGGCATTGGCCAGCAGGGGCCCAAGCCCCCCTCCCACCTCTGGCAGCCTATTAAGTTCTTATCTGGGGAGCTGGGTGATCTAATAGCTCTTTGGCTTATAGATGGGCATTCTCTGCAGGTTGCTCTTTACGGAAACTCAAAGCTTCTCAGGTGCCTCTTCCCCAGGATCGATAGGTTTTCATTCCCCCCCCCCCCCCAGGCTGAGGGATCAGAGCTGAGATGGTGTTACCTTGGCAGGTAGAAAGCAAGGAAAGGGATGTCGTTGCAGGATTGAGCAGTTCCTGACTCCATTCCCCTACCCCTACATATCCCAAAGCAGGTCACACATCCAGGAGAGAGGTGGGAGGCACCAACAGCAGAGGAGGCCTGGGGAGAAGGGGAAATTCTCAAGCTGACAGGGAGCAGTTGTTGCCCTTGGGGGATAGGTGGGGTGTTTCACAGCTTCCCTTGCCCTTCTGATCCTCCCCTGCAGGGAGGGGTTAGGATTAGGGACAGATATTAGAGCTTAGAAGAGGTTAGTGTTTGTCTGAAGTTAGGGTTGAGGCTAAGATTCAACCTAGACCTAGGGACAGGAAGAGGATTAGAGTTAGAGATAGGTTTAGGGCCGTGAGCAGGATTAGAACTCCCACCGACTCTGGTGAATGTGCACACAGAGGTATCACATTGGTGGTGTTAGGAACAGAATCCTCATTCTGGCTCTTTATGTGAATGGCTAGCTTAGTGGTTTGGTTATGGACCACATTAGGGTTTCCTTTGGTTACATTGGTTTAAGCCTAGCCTGAATTTGGATTCCAGCCCACCTGCTCCCTTCTCTCATCAGCATCTCTGAGCTTCTGGGTCCAGCACCAGACTCATCACCTATTATCTGGATCCCCCTGAGCCCAAGATTGGGAGCTAGGGTCCTAATAAGGTATTTATTAGGTAAATATAGTGTGTGTGTGTGTGTGTGTGTGTGTGTGTGTGTGTGTGTGTGTGTATGTGTGTGTGTGTGTGTGTGTGTGTGTGAGAGAGAGAGAGAGAGAGAGAGAGAGAGAGAGAGAGAGAGAGACTCTCTATGTGGCTCAGGCTGTTCTCAAACTCCTGGGCTGAATTGATCTGCCTGCCTCAGTCTCCCAGTGTCCCAGTATGTTGGGATTACAGGCTGGAGCCACTGCACCAGGCCGGCATTAATTTTTCTGGTGGTGGAACTGCTTCAATCTTGTCTAATGCCCTGACCACAGCTGAAGAAGCCAGGCTTCAGGGACCAACAGCTCTACATCAGGGGCAGCAGCACCCTTTCTGCTTTAGTTTTTCTTCCCACTTTTTGGAACATGGTCAGTTATTCAATAGCAGCTATTTTCTCAACAGCTCTTCCAGGCAGGAAAAGCAGACACTGAGATTGTTTAATCCACATTCACCGAGTCAGGCACTTGCCCATATCACACAGTTAGTTGCTGTTCCAAGAGGAAGAATCCTGCAGGATTGTTCGGCTCCTGACCAGGTTCCTCTCTCAGGAGAGCTGGAATCCCAGTGGTCTCATTAGCGTCATCCAAGTGTCAGAATCTCAGGGCCCTCTGGCAAAGCTAGGAAACCAGTCACCCAACACTGCATTCTATTTGTTTGAGAGAGATAAGCCTTCAAGCCTGGGAGTGGTAAAAGGAGAGGAAAGGGGACACCACAAGGTTGTGTTCTGCATTCAAGGAAAAGCCACCAAGTCATTGATAAAAATAGAGATTTTATTCTGCAGAGGAAGATGCTACATTGGTGGGGGCGAGGAGCCACTAATAGCTACAGGGGAAGGAAATACTGATTCCAGGAGGCAAACGCATCTTTGAGAAACCAAGAGACGAGGGACCAGAAAAGGCAGCAGGGCGAAAGGAGAGAAGAGTGGAGAGGGACTGGGTTGGGGTGGAGGTGGTCTTTGCAAACCAGGCTGGGACCCAGCACAATAAATAGTTTTATTTACAACATCCAAACTCGTGGCTCTGTATCCACGTTTCAGTGCAAATTATTTACACACTGATGAGGAGGCAGGGCAGGAAGGGGTAGGAGGTGGCCCAGGGAGGCATGGCTCACAGCTGTTCAGTGGCTCCACAACAGAGACTGGGAGAATGGGGGCATTTCTGCTGGTTTCCCCCAACTGCATTTCCACATCATCACAGCTGCCCTTTTACCCTGGAACCTCCCGTTGCAGCTGCAGATGGGGAGGAGAAAGGCCCTGATGCTCAAGTGTGGGTTCAGGGTCTCCTGCACCCACGGCAGGAGAATAGGAAGGAGCCTGGCAGGACCTGGAGAAAACGCAGGACAAAGCGGAAGAGAGAGGGAAAGAGGTCGCTGGCGCGATGGAGGAGGCAGAGCGACACCGTCAGGAGCTGACGCCACGGTGGAGGGGACTCATCCTCTCACCTCCTGGCCAAGCAGGGGGCAGTGCAACAAGGGGTCTCCCGCGGAGAGGGAGGGAGGTAGGTCCGGAGCAGGTCCATCAGGATGGCAAGAGGGTTCCTGCCGCCCCGGGCAAGTGGTTTGAGGAGTCCCCCGGGAGCAGGAAGTGGGAGAGATGGGATACGTATGAACCGCAGGGAGCGTGACCGGAGGAACTCGGGTGGGAGAATAACAGGGTCTTGAGTACCAGCGAGTCTGTTTGGGGGAGGGCTCGAGGGGAGCGTTCCTGGGGCGAGTCCGCGCAGCGCCTCACAGACACTCGTGCAGTACGCGCGTGTGCGTGCAGTTGCGGCAGCTGACGTGGCAGCACCAGTGGAAGGTGCAATTGCAGCGCTCGGTGACGCGCTGCGTGCGCGTGCGGTGGCCCCGGCCGCAGCAGAGCAGCTCGCAGCCGTCCAGCGCGGGCGAGGAGCTGTTACAGGCGCGCCCTGCCGTGCCCGCTGTACCCAGGCGTCCGCTGTACGTGCAGAAGTTGGGCGATTTCTCGAAGTAGACGAGGTCGTGGGGGGAGGGCGGTTTGTGGGCCGGGTCTTCCGGCTCCAGGCGCAGCAGCTCCGCCCGCGAAGCGCGGTTGCTGCCGCGGTTGCCGTAGAGGACGCGCGAGGCGCCGTCGAAGCGGTCGCGCAGCACGTCGCCCACGGCACGCAGCGTGGGCAGCCGCATCCAGCACGTGCGCACCGTGCACGAGCCGGACATCCCGTGGCACTTGCACTCCTGGCGCATCTCGGAGAATACGGTCTGCGGGGAGAAGGGAGGAAAGAGTGTCCCAGGGCACCCGGCCGGAGCCAACCGCCCAGACACTGCCCCCTCCCGGACGCCACGGGGGCCGGACTTCAGCAAAGGGCCAGGCCTAGCTGAGCCCAGCAGAAGGGAGGCGCGAGAAGTTCCGCTGAGATTTGGAAACCCGGCCCAACCCTGCTCCGCCCCGCAGAGTCAGTCTCGGCCTCTCACGCGTATTTTTCGAATCTGTCCAGTGAAGGGGCTGTGCTTGATTTCTAACCTCTTCTGTTTCACCTGCTAGCGGGACAGGCATCCCTTTCCCCTCAGCCACTGACTGTCTCCTCTATCCTCCGGCTTCGTTCCAAGCCTCCCGCTCTTCCAGGACGCCCTCTCCTGGTGCCCCTTGCCGTGTCTCACCGACTGTCACTTCCCTAGCCCGAGATTGGCCCCTGCTGCTCTGTTTAGGGTGCGGAGCCTCTCCAAGCTCACCGTGCGACCCGCCTCGTTGTTGTGAAGGTTCATGAGGAAGCGCAGGTCCCGTCCCTTCTCCCCGGAGTCCACGAACTCCCGACCGAAGAGGCGACCGAAGTCAATGTTGTCGCTGCAGCCCCCCCAGTGCCAGTCGGGGCCCCCGGGGCCGCGCCGCCGATAGTCACAGGTGCAGGATTCGATGGAACCCTCTGAGCAGGAGCGTGCCACCGAATGGGTGACCCCCGCGGAGGTGATAGCGAAGATAAACGCTGTTTCTCGACAGCCTGTGGGAGAAAGGAGCGGGGATCAGCAAGGGGGCCCGTGGGGCACGGCCAGCACCCTCAGTGAAGGGCTTGGGACCCCGAAATCCCATCCCCGACTCCGCACTTAGAGTCCTGAGAGCCAGAGCGGCAGTGCTGGAAAGCCGGTCCCTGGGGCTCATAGAGAAAGCAGGTGCGTGGGCACGCAGCCACGTCCACGGGCGTAATCACACCTTACTGGGACGCTCCAGGGTGCATTTTGGCTCGATAGCGGAAGTGGAGCAGCCCCAGAGAGAAAAACCGAAGAGAGGGGAGCGGAAGAACAATACATCCCCAAGACTTCTTCGCAGTCCACAACTTTGGGCCCATTTTGGCGACGCAAACCTTGCTGGGCGGGAGGCAAAACACACGCCTGCAGAGAGTGGTTTCCCAGGAGCTTTTGAGAGAGGCTGCGGGAAAGCGGTGGTCAGCCGGCATCCGAGACCCAAAACTCTTTATCTGGGGCAGTAACTCAGAAAAGTTAAGCTTCGTTTCTAGGGTGCACGGCTGGAAAATGCCTGGTAGAAGTCTGGCCCGGAGCTGGCGCTGGACACGAGGCACTTGGCGGGTTGTGTGACCCTCCGGGCGCCTGAGACACCTTCTCTGCACACGCCCGCCCATGCCCTGGGGGTGACCCCGCGTTTTCCCTGCTCCCGGAAGCGTCGCCTTCTTGGGCACCCACCTCGGTTGACGATCTTGCCGAAGAGGTGGGGCCCTGGAGCAGTGGGGCAGTTCCAGCGGCGATTCCGGAACTGCCACTTGCACTCGCGCACGGCGCTCTGCAGCCCCCCGCTCACGCTGTGCAGGATCCCCGGATTTTGGCGTATCAGACGCCGCTGTTTGCGGCTCAACAGCTGCAGACTGGGCTCGAGTACCAGTTGCAGACTCTTGGAGTCCGTCAGCAGGTTCGTGGAGGAGGCTACGTTCACAATACCCCTGGTGGGACATATGATAGCTCAGGCTCAGGAAGGGGACCTGCACCCTAACCATAAAAACTGTGCCACCCGGTCCTCTTCCTGGCGGTACGTGCCTGGAGAGGGTGGCGGAAGATCAATAATGCGGTAATGACTTTGCGCTCCCAGGCTCACTAATTTGAAAGAACTGGGCTTCCAGACTTGTGTGTGCCCAGGAGTCCCAGGGCTGCTCGCCTGAGCCCTAGGTCCAGAGACAGAGAAGGCACCCGGGGACGGAGTTTCTACCTTGGATCTCCGAGCCTCTTCCGGTCAGCCTGAGCGAAGTAATGATGGCCTGCCGTTCTTGCCCACCCAAGGCGTGAAATGCTTAGGAGTTCCCACCCTCTTCTCCCCTCCTTTCTAAGCGACCGCCTGGCCCTTCACTTCCCGAGGTGGGAAAACCTGTGGTGAGGCCACTGCCGTGAGGCTGGAGTTGGCGCTCGAAGGGGAAGGGCGGTGCTAGATGAGAGTGGGCTCCCTGCCTGGGGTATCTTAGGCCTCCGCGGACGGATCATTCGCCCCACTTCTACAGAGCTGGAGTCTGGGGCAACTCCACGCCAGATCGCCCTTCGGTGTCGTCGCGGAGGGAAGTCAGAACGGGGAGGGAGCCTGTCGGCGGACGGATCCCAGAGCGTGGGAGCTGGGTAGGTTGGCCCCTGGCTCTGTGCCGCGGGACAAGTGGCGACCCCGCACTAGCTCACTTACCACCATCGGCCACTGCTGTTGGCAGCCAGGGCTGCGGGCAGAGCGGCCAGCGCCAGCAGCAGCGTAGCAGAAAACCAGCCAGGCAACAGCGCCCAGAGCCCCATGGCCTGCCTGGCTTTGCCCGCTCTGTACTACAGTTGCGGCGACTTTGGCTGTTGCCCGCGACGGTGGGACGGGACGCGGCGGTGGCGGCAGTGGCGAGAGTTCTCAGTCTGGCTTTAACAACCCTGGGGGCGGGCGGCGGACAGCATGGCTCGCGGTCCCGGCTGGTGGGCTGAGGCGGCCACGGCGGGCGGCACCGCCTCTTATAGTTGCGGCGCTGGCTGAAATGACGGGAGGAGGCTGCCCCACCGGGCCGCACTGTGACACCAGGGCGCACCGGTTAGGGGCGCAGACAATGGGCAGCGAGCGGGACTGTGGTTCCCGCCCGTCTGAGCTGAGAGCTGACGGGCTGGCCGTCGGGGCTCACCCCCGCCCCCTGCCCGGTGGCCCCCGCCTCCGGGCCTGCACTGGCCGCGGACCCCTCCCCTTGGGACACCCTCCCACGCGCGCCCGCCTCACTCTGCTTAGCGTCCGGAGCCCGTCGGGGACTAGCATCCGCCAGGGGGCGCGGCAAGCGTGTGCTGCGGGAAGAGCCTGCCAGGGGCCCAGCCCGCCTCGCAGCCGTGGGGCTGTCCCCTCGACGTCACCCCGGGCCCCGCCGGCGTCCCCTCTCTTCCCCCATCCTGAATGTCGGAAGGAAAGCTGTGGTTCTGGGCAGCGACTCCGGGGAGACGCTTAACCGCCCAGGAACCCTCGATGGCTGGACAGAGAAGGAAAAGGGGGAGACGGGGGCGTGAGTGCGGCTGTGGTCAGGGAAATCCCGGGTATGAGTTGTGGGGGTGAGCTGACCAAAAGGATCCTAGCGGTGGAGAGAAACCTGAAGCAGCAGGCAGTTTGTTCACGTGGGTCAGAAGAAGTGCACAAGTGCTGCTCTGTGTCTGTGTGTGTGTGTGTGTGTGTGTGTGTGTGAGAGAGAGAGAGAGAGAGAGAGAGAGACAGAAGTGGGACAATGTGAATATGGGTGGGAGTGAGAATGTGCTGTGTTCTGAGGGTGCATCCTCCTGTGTGTTGTTACGGGCAGAAACTCCTTGTTCTGACGAAGGACGTTAGGAAACTTTCCAAAGAATTTTGGAATTTAGCTCAAGTCAGAAAGGGTCATGGAGTCATCTTGTCACAGTCACCGCCTGGGGCAGTGTGTCAGAAAGGAGGTGGCAACTGTCAGAAGGAAACACAGAAGCATGATTGAGGGATGGAGGGTGTCTGGCCTGTATGTGGAGTGGGTGGATGAGCGTGTGCATGGGAAGATTAAATATGTGTGTATGCGTCACTCTGTTGCCCTTTGTACCTCGTGGCATCCTATGGTGTGTCACACTGTGGCATGTGTCAACCAGTGCATGTCATTGGGGGAGACAGCCAAGCCTACAACCAAGATGGTATGGAGGTGAACCCAGCCTGGAGTGGCTAAGTCTCTGAGGCCTAGGCTCAGAAAGGATGGGATGTGGTGTGGATGTCCAGTGTACATGTGGTGATGGAGAGGACTGGGAAGACACAGGTTGCTGGCTGCATTGAACTTGTATCTCCATGTGTTTGCTTCTCTTTGGATTTTTCTACCAACTTTCTGTCTTCCCCCAAAGCTCTGGTTCCTACCACACTGGGCTACCCAGAGTGCCTGTGACCATCTCATCCATTGTACACTTTTCTCTTCTCTCCCAGGGACTCCTACTCAGCTTCAGGGCCACTTTGGCCTCCTATTGAAGAAGTGGCTGCTGTTCCCTATATGGGGAATACGGGGCACTGCCAGCCTGGTTATCATTCCCCACCACCACACACAGATGGCCCCTGGAAGGAGGGAAGATCTTTACATCTCTTCTCTCTCCCCATTTTACAGAATTAAAAATAGATCAGGCAGTTGCTCAAGGTCCACATCAATAAATCAATGGTAGAGCCAGATTAAAACCCAGACCAATTTGACTCAAAGCCCATGCTCTTCCTACCTTACCAGCTGCTTGCCAGTGTTTAGGAGTTGCAGGCTGGGAACGCTTCTCAAAATTGATAGATAGGTAAGCATAATTTTTAGGGCCTTCTTGCCTTCCTTTTGAGTTCTAGCTGTCACTGTTTTCATTACCCTTGTTTTTTAGGATGCCTTCTGACTGAGAAATTTCCCCTGAACCTAAACAGTCTCAAGTCCCAGAAATGACTAGGCTTCCCTTCCAAGGCAGGAAAATCACTCTAAGGAATAAATCCAGGTCAGTTTAATTAATATTCCTGGGCACTTGTGTTTTAAATGAGATGTATATTAACCCAAATGAAGCCTGATGAAAGTTATTTTAGATAGAAATGTCCTCCCCCTCCCCCCTTTTTTTAGATGGAGTTTTACTCTTGTTGCCCAGGCTGGAGTGCAATGGCACGATCTCAGCTTACCCCAACCTCCACCTCCCAGGTTCAAATGATTCTCCTGCCTCAGCCTCCCGTGTAGCTGGGATTACAGGCATGTGCCACCATGCCCAGCTGATTTTGTACTTTTAGTAGAGACGGGGTTTCTCCATGTTGGTCAGGCTGATCTCAAACACCTGATCTCGTGATCCACCCACCTCGGCCTCCCAAAGTGCTGAGCCACTGTGCCCAGCCCTCTTTCCCTTTTTTACCCCTTTGCCCAGCGCAGTATATCTGGCCCATCCAAGGATTCACCCCTGAGGGAGAGGGTGTACTGATCCAGCATCCTCCACAGATTCAAAAGCCAGCAGTCCCCACAGAAAGCACCCGGCATAGATGGCTTAACGAAATGAACAATGTACCATGGAGAGTCTGTCCTTTATCCCTTAGGAGTTTCTCCTCACTGGGGCCTGGGTCACATCTTTTGGCCTGGTGGATTGATACAACACCATGAGGGCGGGAAGCTGGCTGGAAGATATGGAAGCCCTGTCTGTGACCACTGGTGTCAAGCAGAGGTGGGGAGAGGGGAAAGGAGTCACTGTGCTTTTTTCCAACATTCTACCTACCAGGAGTAGGGGGAAGAGGGGAAGGCCCCTAGGTCTGGGTCACAGTGTGTATGACCTGGTTCACATTTCTTTTTCTTTTCTTTTTTAAAATGTGAAATGCTTCATGAATTTGTGTGTCATCCTTGTGCAGGGGCGATGCTAATCTCTGTATCATTCCAGTTTGAGAATACGTACCGCCAAAGCAAGCACCCAAATTTCTATTTAGATCAAATCATCATGTTATCAACTGTCCCCTCTTTTTTTCCTGCGTCATCCATTTGGCTCTCTCCTGGAACATACCCATAAGCATGTAGACATGCTGCAATAGTACCCATCTGATACACCCCAACACTTCATTAGACCCCACGTGACTGCCCAAGATTGCTCCGTTTCAGTGCTGCATTTTACTGCAAAACTCAAAATGGTTGATTTAATTACTGGAGCCAATTTCTTTCTTTCTTTTCTTTTTCTTTTTTTTTTTTTAAGACGGGGTTTCACCATGTTGGTCAGGCTGGTCTTGAACTCCCAACCTCAGGTGATCCGCCCGTCTTGGCCTCCAAAGTGCTTGAATTACAGGCGTGAGCCACCATGCCCGGCCTCTTTTCTTTTCTTTTCTTTTTTTTTTTTTTTTTTTTTTTTTTTTTTGAGATGGAGTTTTGCTCTTATTGTCTAGGCTGGAGTGCAATGGCGAAATCTTGGCTCACCGCAACCTCTGTCTCCCGAGTTCAAGCAATTCTCCTGCCTCAGCCTCCCGAGTAGCTGGGATTATAGGTGCACACCACCATGCCCGGCTAATTTTGTATTTTTAGTAGAGATGGGGTTTCTCCACGTTGGTCAGGTTGGTCTTGAACTCCTGACCTCAGGTGATCCACCCACCTCGGCCTCCCGAAGTGCTGGGAAACAGAAGTCTGATTAGTTCAATCCTCTGCTCAAAATTTTCCAATGAGTCCCCATCTCACTCAAAGTAAAGGGCCTTCCTTCCTGAGTTTCACTGACTACCATACTCTCCATTGTGAATTCCTCCCCACCAGCCCTGCTGGCCTCTTTGCTAATCCTTCGAATCAAGCATGCTCCTTTCCAAGGGTCTGTGCACCTGCTTTTCTGTCTTCTAAAATGCCCTTCCTCAGATCTCTCCATGTATTTGTTCCCTCACTTAGTTTTTCCTCTCCCTTTGTAAAATGGAATCCCACTACTAATGTCCTTTACCCTGCTTCATTTTTCTCTATATCAGTTTTAAAGGCTTGAAGTTGAACATTGGTAGCAATCCACCCCCTGGAATAGGGGTAGAGGTGAGATCTTAGAAGGGAGAGGGGCTTTGCTTTGACTTTGGGATCTGGTGAGGAAGCAGGGGACCAGGGAGAGTTTGTGGGCAGAGGAGCCTACCCTCCTTTGAAGCACCCATGGTCAGCACTGCCCCCTTGGTCTGGAAAGGCACAGCCCATCCATTAGGCCTGAGTAGAGAAGGGGACAAAATTCTAAGGTAATCCCACGGTTTTGTTGGGGTGAACTGCTGAAAGTGGGGTATTCCTGAAAGTCCAGTATACCATCGGCCTGCAGGCCCTCTGGTGCCTCCAGGTGGTGGCCTACGGTGCTGCAGCAGAAGGCGCATGAGGCAGAGGGTGGGCAGCGCAGCTGAGCTCACCACCATGGGCGCATCCATCCCTCCTGGGCCTATAATTTGGGTTCCCCAGGCCTGGCCGCCCCTATCAGCGGCTCAGCAACAGATGAGTCACCCGGGACCCCGGGCCAAGGCAAACATGGTGGGGAGGAGGAGGAGAAAGCTTCCGAGGCTTTAGCCACCGCCTCAGTTGATCGACATCCCCCAATCTCCAGGGGCCCCCACTCTTTTCTTTGATTCCCACCCTCCAGGGCCCCAGTGTTCTCCCCACATTGCTCTCGTTACGCCCTCCATCCCTAGGATGGGAAGGGCAGCCCTCCAGCCTTCTCATCTAGGGGAAGGGACACCAGTTTTCTCCTAGTCCCTCCCTGCAGTGATGAAAGCCCCCCACTTTCCCCCTCCTGTCATTGGCCCCAACCCATGTCAAGGTCTCTCTGGTTCCCGTCCCTCCCCTTTCCTGGAGCTGGCCGCGTGCTTGGGGTATTAGGCAATGGGTGTGCACCCGCAGCCCTCTCCAGGCCCCGCCTGTCCCACCGCCCTCTAGCTGCCTGCGGGTCAGTGTTCAGGCCAGCCGGTCGGGCTGAGGGCACTGTGGGCCAGCTCAGGCCACCCAGTCTGCCGGCCTGTGGCCTCTTGTCCCAGATATGGGCTTCAGTAGAGAGAAGGAGCAGGATTCTGGGTCCTTGGATTTGGAACAGTCCCGCTTGGGGAGACCTGGGGTCACTAGGAAATTGAAACCTATTGTAGTAGTTCTGTCCCTCAACGCTTCTTGGCACCTGACCGCATGCTAGAGACTGACAAGCGTAGAATCAGAAGGCAACAAATAATCCCAAACCTAAGGGGGACCCAGAGACGCATGGAGAAATACAGATGTCCATGAGGTCCCCATGGAGAAGAGAGGCTTAGGCAACCTCATTCCCCTATTCCAAGGACCTGGCAGGAATCCCAGGCTGACTGCAGGAGAAAGGATAAGGACACTGGCAGATCATGAATCCAGGTGTAAGGATGAAAACTATGAGATGGGGCTTGCAGATTCTGGTGACCTCGAAAACCACACATGGTTTGGCTCTTGTCCTCTAAATGGGAAGAAGGGTCAGGAAATCTAGGGCTCCCTCTTCCCCATCCCAGAGGTGGGGAATCAGAGAAAAGTAGCCTGGTCCAGGCTGTCCGGTGTCAAGGATCATGGCACTTTCACCTCCCCAGACTGCTCACAGCCTGGCACATATTGGTGATCCATAAATATCCCAACAGATATAAGTCGCTTGATCTCCTGTCTCAGACTGCTGTGCCCGCTATCCAACAGTGACCCCTGCAGCATGGGCAGGACCTCCAGCAGCACAGGCTGGAGGCTGACTGCCCAGCAGAGCTGCACCGCAACCACCAAGGAAGAGGTGACTGTGGTTGCGGGTATCATCCCTGTGCCTCTGCTTGCTGGGGGGCAGTCTGAGTCAATGTGCCTGGGGCGTGTGGGGCCAGCCATGCCTTGGGCTGCGGTCTGGCAGGGGCGGGGGGTGGCTGGAAAGCCTGGGGCCCCTCTCTGGCAAAAATAGCCCGCAGTGGTTAGAGCTTCGAGGGTGAGTCAGGCGGGAACGCAGTGGCGCCTAACCCCTTCGCTGCCACTGGATCTCCCTAAGGCGGTTTGTCTTTGCCTGTGCACCCCAACACCAGGCTCTTTTCCGACTGCCCTTGGACTTGGCTCAATTTTGGATCCCAAGGCCCTCCTCATCCCATCCGAAGGAAGTCTGCAGCTTGGAGCAGGAATCTAGGCCACCCAAAGTGCAGACTGGGGAATCCCGAGAAGGGTAGGAGACCTCTATTGGTAAGCATCCCTGCCAGCAAGGAAGCATGGGGGCAGGCTGAGGATCTCTGGGGCTACCTGAACCTCCACCAGGGCCAAACTGAGGCAAAAGCTGACCCCTCCGAAGGGGCAGGCGTGGGGCTTGGAGGTGGGTGGGAACCAAGCTGCCCAGACCTGCATTTCTCCTCCTGCTCTGAGTGCCCTGGGTGTGGGCACCACATGTGACTGTCCCACACTGAGAAGCCCAAAGACTATCCAGCTCCATCTTCATCTTGTCAAAGGCACCTTCCAGCCACCCTGATCTCGGTGGAGAAACTGATGCAAAAAGAAGTGTTGAAAGATGTGGCCACTTGGGCCCCATTCTGGCTCTCTAGGAAGGTTACTACACCCTCCCTGCAGCCTTGGTGACCCCAGAGCAGGTAAGAGGAACTCTGGCCACCTCCTTCTTCAGTGGGGCCAAGCCTGAACCCAGGCGTCGGGCGAGAGGGGGTGTGTGTGTGTGTGTGTGTGTGTGTGTGTGTGTGTATGTGTGTGTGTATGCTGGGAGGAGGTGGAGCGGCTTCGTTTGCCTGGTCAAGGCGGGGAGTGCAGAGTAGGGTGGGGAAGCCCCAGGCTCAGGGAGGGGCCGCAGCTCCGTCAGCCCGGCAGAGCCAACGTGAGCTCGAGCAGAGCCAGAACCCCCAGTTCTTTGCTTGCCGCCTTGCTAGCTCTGTCGATCACTCCTTCCCTTCCTCCCTCCCTTCCTAGCCACGGCCGGCCGGCCGAGTGGCGCTGGGGAAGCGGTGAAGAGGAGTGGCCCGGCCCTGGAAGAATGCAGCTCTGCCAAGGGGACAGAACCCAGCACAGTCTCCCCACGGATTAAGCAGGACTAGTGAAGCTCAGGCAACCCAACCGTGCCCGTCTCGGACCCCGCACCCAAACCACTGGAGGTAATTAGACCTGGGAAAGCAGGGAGGGCAGGGACATGAACACCAGGAAGAAACAGGCACTTGTGTAGTCAGACAGACAGACACGCATCCACCCACAGAAGCACAGAGATGCTTAGAGAGCCAGAGATATTGCTAGAGATAAAGGCAGAGAATAAAGGAGCGCCCCCAGATTTAGAAAGCAATGAACCTGAGAGCGAAGGGGTGAGGACCAGACCGGTGCCTATGGAGGAGGAGAGCCTATGGTTAGGCAAGCTGGGGGATAGGGAAGAGGATTCAGTCTGCGCCACAGTCCCTTTTAGAAGGGAGCCAGGCTCTTCTTCCCATCTTTCCTGCACCTGGAGCCCCTCCTCTTTCCTTGCTGCTCAGGGAGGGTGCAATGTGGGTGGGGAGCCCATTAGACCTTTCTTATGGAGCCAGCTTGGCCTTGATGACTCCTGGAGGTGACACCCCCTTAGGTGGTGGGGAACCCCCTCCTTATCCCACTCCCTAGCCCTTTGAGGGCGGGGAAGCTAGTCATGGGGCCCTGGAAAAGGGAGCAGTAGGCGAGGTTGTGGAGCAAGTGTTTGTGAATCTGTGTGTCTGAGTTTGCATGTGAGTGTGTCTGTGTGCCGGGCTTTGTGTCTGATTGGACGGGGTTCCAGCGGTGCTCACGTGAGTCCTGAGCTGAGACTACACCTGGACTCTTCCTCTTTAAGACCTCCAAGCCTCAGGGACTCTGGGAATCAAGTGGTGATTCTTACTGTTTTGTTTGGGGAGGAATGAGAAGGGTCAGTAGGGTGGCATCGGTGGGTTAGGAGCCCGAAGAAGGGCGTCACTTGGTTCCCCGAGCGAGCCGCCCTATTCCTGAACCCGCATCAAGTCTCCTTGTCCCGCAGGTCCTGATCGATCTGCCCACCGGAGCCTCCGGGCTTCGACATGCTGGAGGAGCCCCGGCCGCGGCCTCCGCCCTCGGGCCTCGTGGGTCTCCTGTTCCTGGCGTTGTGCAGTCGGTGAGCAGTTCCCCCTGTCTCCCAGGCCACAGGAGAAGCACCGACCCGGGGTGGGGAGAGTTGGAGGGGTCTGGACTGCAGACCCCAGACGCCTTCTTGGTTTCCAGGGCTCTAAGCAATGAGATTCTGGGCCTGAAGTTGCCGGGCGAGCCGCCGCTGACTGCCAACACCGTGTGCCTGACGCTGTCCGGCCTGAGCAAGCGGCAGCTAGGCCTGTGCCTGCGCAACCCCGACGTGACGGCGTCCGCGCTTCAGGGTCTCCACATCGCGGTCCACGAGTGTCAGCATCAGCTGCGCGACCAGCGCTGGAACTGCTCAGCGCTCGAGGGTGGCGGCCGCCTGCCGCACCACAGCGCCATCCTCAAGCGCGGTGAGCCTGGCTGGGTGGGTCTGCGCTGCCGCCGAGGCTAGGGGGTGGGGGGCAGGCCGACGCCCGTGGAGGCGGGAAGGGACGAGTTCGCGGCTCCGGGAGGGGCCTCTCCTGGAATTCCCGCCCCCCCCCCCCCCCCCCGCCTCTCAGAACCGCTCTGAGCCAGGTCTGGCCACCCGACTGGGCCCCTGCGCGCCTAACTTCCACCTGCGTGCTGCCGGCGAGGCAGCTGTCCCTGCTCTCCTACCCTAGGGCCCCCCTTTCCTGCCTCTGCCCAGCTTGATCTGGGTTGCACCTGTGAACAAGAGATACCCCAGTCCTGGGAGCTTCAAACACCCCCTTATTACCTCCCCCATTTTCTCTCCCCCAGCATCTTGGCTGGACAAGCCCAGGCTGGTGTCCCAGTGTCTCAGCAGGGGTTGGGTGACACCCCCCCACACACCGTTTAAGGGTTCAACCTGCTCCCCTAATTGCTGGGGTTCCCAGGAGCCAAAGCTGGGAACAAAGACCCCGATGACTTTGAAGGTGGGGAGCCAGTCCCCTCCTCTGTGCTGTGGGGGCTCCAGGTGTTGCTCACCTGAGCAGGTGAAGAATGGCTGCAGGTGGGGAGAACAGGTCACTGCTGGCCTGGTCTGGGAGGCATGGTCTGGGAGGCATGGCTGCCTCTCCCCCTTCCCTGCTGGAGTTCACTCCCTGAGGTGTAAAGATCCATGGGCTCAGCCCTGAGATGGGGGCAGTGCTCTGGGGACTATGGGGTTAATAGGCAGCTGCCATCTGCAGGGGAATTCCCAAGACGTGTGCAAACAGCTTCACCCCTGGAGGGTTGGAGTTGGGGGGATCAGGATGCTGGCCCAGGAGCCCCGGATCTTGGGGTAGGAGAGGCCTGTCCTCTAAGGGGGTGTTCTCTCTCATCTTCTCAGGGCTCCAGAGAGCCCCTGCCTAAAATGAAGTGAGGGTCCCCCTCCTTCCGCACAGGGCCTGGTGTAGGGGAAGTCTTGGACACCCAAATGGTGAGCATGCTTATTTAAGTCTGGGTCCTGAGCCTCTGTGACCCCCAAAACATAACAAATAAGCCAACCTTTTAAGAGGGCCTTAGGGAAAATCACTCCCCTACCTCTCTCCTCCTCTCCGTGTTTTATAGGGTAATAGCAGGTTAGGATGAACATAAAAAGGGCAGTCTTGAAGGGCAAATATAAAACTACATCCTGGGAAGAATGGAGCTCCACGGCTCCAGTGCTTTGGGGGTGCTGGGTGGTGGAAGGTAGGTTGGTTAAAAGACCGATTAAAATAACCCTGAAGTGAAGAAAAAAAATTACAGAACCACAAAAGCTCTGCTCCCACCTCACGAAAGCTCCCTGCAGGGTTGGGAGAATTTCTAAGGCTTTCAGATAGAGAACTCAGGTTGTACACATCTTCAAAGGCCTCAGGGACTCCCTCTTAGCTCCCTCCCAGCTCGAGGAGTCTCTCCCTCTGGGCTAGCACTTTCATCTACACCTGAAAATCACAGACTTAGAGTGACAGTGGGCCTCAGAGATCATCTTGACCCATCATCTCCCACCTCCCTTTAGAGATGAAGAATCTGAGGCTCTGTGCTTTCTGTACCCTTCCTTGTCCCGTGACTTCTCCAAATCACTCAGCTGGTAAATGGCAGGGTCAGGATTCAGTTAGGAATTTCTGGAATTGGAGGGGAGCTGTTTATCTCCTTCTGCCTCCCCACCCTCAGCTGCCTGTCAACCTTACCTCCACCATCACACCCTTCTCATCCCCAGGTTTCCGAGAAAGTGCTTTTTCCTTCTCCATGCTGGCTGCTGGCGTCATGCACGCAGTAGCCACGGCCTGCAGCCTGGGCAAGCTGGTGAGCTGTGGCTGTGGCTTGAAGGGCAGTGGTGAGCAGGATCGGCTGAGGGCCAAACTGCTGCAGCTGCAGACACTGTCCCGAGGCAAGAGTTTCCCCCACTCTCTGCCCAGCCCTGGCCCTGGCTCAGGCCCCAGTCCTGGCCCCCAGGACACATGGGAATGGGGTGGCTGTAACCATGACATGGACTTTGGAGAGAAGTTCTCTCGGGATTTCTTGGATTCCAGGGAAGCTCCCCGGGACATCCAGGCACGAATGAGAATCCACAACAACAGGGTGGGGCGCCAGGTATGTGTGTACGTCTTGTCCTGGGTCTCCCCAGCTTTTGAGGCCTGGTTAGCATTTGAGAGGCACCTGGGAATAATAGAATAAGGTGTGATGAGTGACTGATATTCACCTCACCATCAGCAGTAACCCAGCCTCAGGTTTGCATCTGTACAGAGCCTAATGATACTTACCTTACAATGTTATTAAGATTGAGCTGGCAGGCCAATGTGGTGGCTTATGCCTATAATTTCAGGGCTTCTAGAGGCTAAGGCAGGAGGATGGCTTGAGGCCAGAAGTTCAAGACCAGCCTGAGCAAAGTAGTGAGACCCCATCTCTACATTAAAAAAAAATTATGTAGCTGGGTGCAGTGGCTCACGCCTGTAATCCTAGCACTTTGGGAGGCCGAGGTGGGTGGATCACCTGAGGTCAGGAGTTCAAGACCAGCCTGGCCATCATGGTGAAACCCCATCTTTGAAAAAAACATTATATATATAAAAACAGACTGGGCTTGGTGCAGTGGCTCACGCCTGTAATCCCAACACTCTGGGAGGCCGAGATAGGCAAGTTACTTGAGGTCAAGAGTTCGAGACCAGCCTGGCCAACATGGTAAAACCCCATCTCTACTAAAAGTACAAATATTAACTGGGCATGGTGGCGGGCACCTGTAATCCCAGCTACTCAGGAGGCTGAGGCAGGAGAATCACTTGAACCCGGAAGGCAGAGGTCGCAGTCAGCTGAGATTGCACCACTGCACTCCAGCCTGGGCAACAAGAGCGAGACTCTGTCTGAAAACAAAAACAAAAACAAAACAGACTGAGCTAGCAAATAGTACACCCAGCATAGTACATCATTTTTGGCTCACTGCATAGTAGCTATTATTACAGCTGCCTTCCCTACAGAATTTAGGCGTGCTGTGGGCCAGACTCCCAATTTTGTAAGTGCTTACGATGGAAAGAGCATTGGATTGGGAGTCAGGACAACTGGAGTTGAGTCTTGGCTCTACTACCAGCTGTTGATGGAAGATGGACAAATCACACCCCTCCGTTTTCAATTCTGCACTCATAAAATGAGGGAGCTGGGCTATTAACTAACCGCAATGCCCTTTCTCTTCTGATATTCCATGTTATTCTTGCCTCCATTTGTCCCTCCCCGTGTTCTCTGTTCCCTTCCCTCTCCTGTGCCTCTGTGCTCTGTCCATTTGCTGCCCTCCACTTCACCTCTTCTCCCCAATGCTCTAGGTGGTAACTGAAAACCTGAAGCGGAAATGCAAATGCCATGGCACGTCAGGCAGCTGCCAGTTCAAGACATGCTGGAGAGCGGCCCCAGAGTTCCGGGCAGTGGGGGCGGCATTGAGAGAGCGGCTGGGCCGGGCCATCTTCATCGATACCCACAACCGCAATTCTGGAGCATTCCAACCCCGTCTGCGTCCCCGTCGCCTCTCAGGAGAGCTGGTCTACTTTGAGAAGTCTCCTGACTTCTGTGAGCGAGACCCCACTATGGGCTCCCCAGGGACAAGGGGCCGGGCCTGCAACAAGACCAGCCGCCTGTTGGATGGCTGTGGCAGCCTGTGCTGTGGCCGGGGACACAATGTGCTCAGGCAGACACGAGTGGAGCGCTGCCATTGCCGCTTCCACTGGTGCTGCTATGTGATGTGTGATGAGTGCAAGGTCACAGAGTGGGTCAATGTGTGTAAGTGAGGGTCAGCCTCACCTTGGGGGAGGGGGAGGGGCCTGTGTGAGAGGGGTGCGTTTTCAGCCCTTTGCTCTGATTTCCTTCCAAAGCCAATCTTGGTCCCTGGAAGCTCAGTGTCTACTTGGAAACAGCTTTAGGTGTGGTGGGGGGTCAGGTGTACTATGGGATGTGTAGCCTTCTCTCCAATAATTGGAGGGTCTCGGGGGAAAGCTGCCACTCCTCTTCTGCTCCTTAGACACCTGAATGGACTAAGATGAAATGCACTGTATTGCTCCTCCCACTTCTCAACTCCAGAGCCCCTTTAACCCTGATTCATACTCCTTTTGGCTAGGGAGTCCCTATAGTTTCACCACTCCTCTCCCTTTAGGGATAACCGCAGGCACTGTTTGGAGCCATAAGATCTGTATCTAGAAAGAGATCACCCACTTCTGTGTACTAGCCCCAAACTCCTCTGCTGCAGCCTGGGCTCCCTCTTGTGGGATAATGGGAGACAGTGGTAGAGAGGTTTTTTCCTGGGAAAGGGACAGAGTGCTGAGGGGCACTGTCCCCTGAATCCTCAGAGTTGTCTGTCCAGACCCTTAGGGAAGTTGTCTCCTTCCATTCGGCAGTTAAAGAGGACCCTCCAAAGGAAGGGGTTTCCCTATGACTCTTGGAGCCTCTTTTTCCTTCTTCAGCAGGAAGGGTGGGAATGGATAATTTATTGTACTGAAACTTGTTCTTGGTTTCTGTTTGAAACTAAAATAAATTAAGTTACTGGATGCAGATGGTGATGTATGTACCCACACTTGGGATTCCAGTCCGTAGCTTCTTTTCTAGGTGAATTCTCTTACCCTCCTACACTTAATGGCTTTATGTATATCCTCCTGAGTTCCACAAAGGATTTGAAATGAATCTCAGTGATGTAACTGGCAACTTTTCCTTGATAAAACCAGGAAGGGCTCCTAGGTGGGAAAGGATAGAGTTCCAGATGTAGGCCCTATTGACTCTCTATGTGTCTCAACTCCAGATTTCACCTTGATCACTGCCTTAGAACAAGGGCTGGCAATTTTGTGTTTTTGTTTTTGTTTTTTTTGCAAAGGGCTAGTAGTAAATATATTACACTTGTGGTCTTTGTCCCAACTATTCAGCTCTGCCACAATTAGTCAACTCTGCTGTTAAAGATCAACAGCGGCCATAGACCACACACATAAATGAATGAGCACGGCTGTGTCCAATAAAACTTCATTCACAGAAATGGACTGCAGGACCAAATTTGGTCCTCTAGCTGCAGTTTGTTCACCCTTGTTCTAGACCACAAGGTTGCTTTTGTTCTGGAGTCTTTTTCCTAGATGTATCTCAACATTGAACTCGGACCCAAAAAAACAGGCATTTTTTTCTCTGGTTCCGAAGGAGTGAACTTGGGATGTAGATGCAAGACTGATGGGAAATGTAATAAAGAGGTGCCTGTGCTTGAAATGGGAGTTTTTCCCTCTGGAAACCAGCAAAACCAGCATGTTTTCTAATGGATTTATTTGCATATGTTTTTTTTTTTGTCCTTATTTATTTATTTATTGAGACAGGGTCTCACTTTGCCACCCAGGCTGGAGTGCAATGGTGTGATCTTGTCTCACTGGAACCTCCTCTTCCTGGGTTCAAGCCATCCTTGTGCCTTAGTTTCCCAAGTAGCTAGGATTACAGGTATGTACTACCACACCTGGCTAATTTTTATATTTGTAGTAAAGATGAGTTTTCGCCATGTTGGTTGGCCAGGGTGGTCTTGTCCAACTCCTTGCCTCAAGTGAGCTGCCCGCCTCAGATCCCAAAGTAGGATTACAGGCGTAAGCCACCACACCTGGCCATTTCTTATTGTTTTTTTGAGACAGGATCTCATTCTGTTGCCTAGGCTGGAGTGCAGTGGTGTGATCTTGGCTCGCTGAAACCTCCACTTCTTGGGCTCAAACAATCCTTCTACCTCAGCCTCCTGAGTAAGCTGGGACTACAGACACATGCCTCCATGCCTGGCTAATATTTTGTGTGTGTGTATTTTTTTGGTAGCGATAGGTTTCACTATGTTGCCTAGACTGGTCTTGAACTCCTGACCTCAAGCAATCTGCCCATCTCAGCCCATGTCCTTCCTCATTTAGAGTTATTTTGTATTTCATTTTAGTAAAATAATTCCTTTAAGAGATAACCTCAACTAAACAGAACAGAATTTATTTTTATGTATGTATGTATGTGTATATGTATTTATTTATTTTTGAGACAGAGTTTCACTTTTGTTTCCCAGGCTGGAGTGCAATGACGTGATCTCAGCTCACTGCAACCTCCACTTCCTTGGTTCAAGCGATTCTCCTGCCTCAGCCTCCCAAGTAGCTGGGATTAAAGTAGCTGTGGTGCCTGCCACCACATTTATATTTTTAGTAGAGATGGGGTTTCACCGTGTTGGCCAAGCTGGTCTGGAACTCTTGACCTCAGGTGATTCACCTGCCTCGGCCTCCCAAAGTGCTGGAGTGCAGTGGTGTGATCTCAGCTCACTGCAACCTCCGCCTACTGGGTTCAGGTGATTTTCCTGCCTCAGCATCCCAAGTAGCTGGGACTACAGGTGTGTGCCATTTTTGGTAAAGATGGGTTTCACCATGTCGGCGAGGCTGGTCTCAAACTCCTGACCTCAGGTCATCCGCCTGCATCAGCCTCCCAAAGTGCTAGCTTTATAGGCATGAGCCACCACAGCCGGCCCTAACCGAACATCTTTGAAAATAAACTGTTATCTTTCTAAGATTCAATGCAGAAAAGGAATATACATCACATATTTAGAACTTCACAAATGACTGCACACTTATGTGGCCGCTAGATGCTGACTGTAACAGGTTATTTCTTTGGCCAGAGAATGTAGAAATAGTTCTTTCCATGTCTGTAGGCAATAAATACTTCTGATATTCAAATTACCCCCAAAATCAGATGAAATGAGAGTAGCACCAAGGTAGCAAGGACATTTTGAGGAGCATTAGGTTAGGGCAGTACTTTTTTTTTTTTTTAGACAGAATCTCGCTCTGTTGCCAGGCTGGAGTGCACGATCTCCACTCACTCCAACCTCCACCTTCTGGGTTCAAGCAATTCCCCTGCCTTAGCCTCCCGAGTAGCTGGGACTACAGGCACGTGCCACCATGCCTGGCTAATTTTTTGTATTTTAGTAGAGACAGGATTTCACCATGTTGGCAAGGATGGTCTCGATCTCCTGACCTTGTGATCTGCCCACCTTGGCCTCCCAAAGTGCTTTTTTTTTTTTTTTTAGACAGGGTCTTAGGATCTCTGTCACCTAGGCTGGAGTGCAGCTGTGTGATCTCCGCCTACTGGGCTCAACCGAGCTTTCTGTCTCAGCCTCCTGAGTAGCTGGGGCTACAGGTATGGTACCACCAGACCTGGCAAATTTTTGTATTTTTGGGAGATGGGGTTTGGCTACGTCGTGCAGGCTGGTCTTGAACTACTGGACTCAAGCTATCCACCTTCCTCAGCCTCCCGAAGTGCTGGGATTACAGGCATGAGCCACTGTGTTTGGCCATAGGATAGTTTTGTTTGTTTTTGTTTTTTGTCTTATTTTTAAGAGATAGTGTCTTGCTATGCTGCCCAGGCTGGTTTCAAACTCTCAGACTCAAGCAATCCTCTTGCCTTGGTTTCCCACCCAAAGGTGTTGGGATTACAGGTGTGAGCCACTGTGTTTAGCCAGTACTTTTTTTTTTTTTTTTTTTTAAATTTAGAGTCAGCATCTTGCTCTGTCACTCAGGCTGGAATGCAGTGGCAAGATCACTGCAGCCCTGAACTCCTTGACTCAAGTGATCTTCCAGCCTCAGCCTCTCAGAGTGTTGGGATTTACAGGTTTTAGTTACCACACTGGGCTCTAGGGCAGAACTTTATGGCCAAATTTTATGTCCCAGATTTCCACTTGAGCATTGAGAATCTGGGTTTGGAAATTTGATGGAGACAGGAGAAATCCTATTCTTATTTTAGACACTTACTGAACCTAGTGTGTGTGGAAGGAAGAGGGGATGCACTTAGAATGGGAAAGGATATAAGAGAATAACGATAAAGAATATATATAATCACAATTTCTCACACTCAGGTAGAGAAAGGAGAATCTCTAACAGAGTCATAGCATGAATATTTCAGCTTTTTCCTGTTTCCTTCCTCTGTACTTTGGGTCCCTCTTTCCTTTCTAGCATTCCCTCTTCTTTCATCAGACACATTCTGTGGCAAACTTAAGACCCAAACCACAACCTTGACAAATTCCAAATGGATTTTGTCAGCAAGGCCAACACACCCCTTCGCCACTCCCTACCCCTGCTCCTAGCACATGTGCTGGGCTCAGGCCCAGGCCTGGGGTCAGTGACAGTGTGGAAGTATGCAACCCACAGACCTGGTGGCTACAATTTCAGCTTTTACTAGGCTCCAACGGCAGCCAGAGGGAGGGAGAAAGGCTGATGAACTATAAGTCGGGCCTCTTGTCCTTCTTCAGCTCCAGATGAGCTCTACTCCTGCTGGCTTTTACCAAGTGGCTGCGAAGTTAGGGAGCGGCAGTGGCCAGCTAATTGCCAGTTGGGCAGCACTCCTCCCATCTCTGCTCCTGTTTGCTCCATGGGCAGCCCACTCTGATGCTGCAACAGACACTTTCTTCTTCAGACTCCAGACAGGTGAAGAACAGATGAGCTGGGAGATTCTCCAGTCCTATTAATCAGTCCTGACTAACATATCATGGTACTTGCTGCTTACCACATTAGGCTGTCACTATTTCTATCCTTCTGTTGCACCTGAGATACAACCTTGAGAGGCTCTGAAGCATTGAGCAGGAATATCAACAGGTTCCACCTCCTTGTCTGAGTGCCACAAGGCATGTCTGTGTGGTAAGGGCACTAGGGAGTTTTTATAAAGCGTAGTTTTTGTGGACACTGTGGTAGCATGACCTGGTGGAGTGTTACTAGAAATCTCTAGAAAAAGAAATCAAAGGGTAATCAGGTGGAAATATCACAAAGCCCACTCTAGGAATCTGTAATAATACTGGAGGAAGGTCCTTTTGTAGTTCTTAAACATAATGACTGGGTGTTCACGCACATGAGGGTGTGCCACCCTCAAACCTTTGTTACATTGGCACACTATCCATTTGACATGAACAACAACAACAAAAATTTACTAGAGATTTCTTTTGCCCTTAAAAACACAGAGCTGGGCTTGGTACAGTGGCTCATGCCTGTAATCCCAACACTTTCGGAGGCCTAGATGGGAGGCCTGCTTGAGCTCACGAGTTTGGCCTGGGCAACATGGCATAACCCTGTCTCTACGAATAGCATAAACATTAGCTAGGTGGCTGGGCATGGTGGCTCATGCCTGTAATCCCGCATTTTGGGAGGCCGAGGTGGGTAGATCACCTGAAGTCAGGAGTTTGAGACCAGCCTGTCCAACATGGTAAAACACTGTCTCTACTAAAAATACAAAAATTAGGCAGGCATGGTGGCACATGCCTGTAATCCCAGCTACTCAGGAGGCTGAGGCAGGAGAATCAATTGAACCTGGGAGGCGGAGGTTGCAGTGAGCTGAGATTGCACCATTGCATTCTAGCCTGGGCAACAAGAGTGAAACTGTCTCAAAAAAAAAAAAAAAAAAAATTAGCTGGGCATGGTGGCATTCACTGTAGCCCCAACTACTTGGGAGGCTGAGGTGGTAAGGATCACTTGAGCCCAGGAGGTTGAGGCTGCAGAGAGCTGACTGCCCCGATGTACTCCAGCCTCAGCAACATAAAAAGACCCAGTTTCAAAAACAAACAGAAAAAAACCCAAAAGCAAAACAAAACAAACAAAAATACAAACAAAACAAACAAACAAGGGCCGGGCACAGTGGCTCAAGCCTGTAATCCCAGCAATTAGGGAGGCTGAGACAGGTGGATCACGAGGTCAAGAGATCGAGACCATCCTGGTCAACATGGTGAAACCCCGTCTCTACTAAAAATACAAAAAAATTAGCTGGGCATGGTGGCGTGTGCCTGTAATCCCAGCTACTCAGGAGGCTGAGGCAGGATAATTGCCTGAACCCAGGAGGCGGAGGTTGCGGTGAGCCGAGATCGCGCCATTGCACTCCAGCCTGGGTAACAAGAGTGGAACTCCGTCTCAGAAAAAAACAAACAAACAAACAAACAAAAAAAAAAAAACCAAAAAAAACTGACAGAGCTGCCCAGCACAGCAGCACATGTCTATAGTCTCAGCTATTCAGGAAGGTAAGGCAGGAGGATCACTTGAGCCCTGGAATTCAAGACTATAGTGTGCTATGATCGCTCCTATGAATAGTCACTGCACTCCAGCCTGGACAACACAGTGAGATCCTGTCTCTTAAAAAAAACAGAGATTAGCAGAGCAGAGGCCCTTAACAGCAATGCCCAGGACAGATATAATTTCTTGTTATAAATAGTTTCCTTGTTAATCTATCTCATCCCTTACCATCTTAAATTAAGGTCCCCTTGGTTTGACATTCTAGGGTCATGTTATTCATCAGGTTAACATAAGAGAGAAAACAGACTGGGTTTAGGGACTGCTAAGTGCATAAACCAGGAATTTATGACAAGGAGATAGACATATGTGGCAATCTACGAGCTTTTTTAAATTTTTGAGATGGAGTTTTGCTCTTGTCACCCAGGCTGGAGTGCAGTGATGCGATCTTGGCTCATTGCAACCTCTGCCTCCCAGATCCAAGCAATTCTCCTGCTTCAGCCTCCCAAGTAGCTGGGATTACAAGCGCACATCACCACGTCCAACAAATTTTGTATTTTTAGTAGAGATGGGGTTTCTCCATGTTGGTCAGGTTGGTCTCCAACTCCTGACTTCAGGTGATCTGCCAGACTCCGCCTCCCAAAGTGCTGGGATTACAGGCTTGAGCCACCACACCAGGCCCAGCCCAGCTTTTTTTTTTTTTTTTTTTTTTTAAGAGAGTCTTGCTATGTCACCCAGGCTTGAGTGCAGTGGAAAGATCTAGGCTCACTGCAACCTCTGCCTCCTGAGTAGCTGTGATTACAGGGGTGCGCCACCATGCCCAGCTAATTTTTGTATTTTTTGGTAGAGATGGGGTTTCACCATATTGGCCAGAATGGTCTCAAACTCCTGACCTTAAGTGATCCACCCACTTCAGCCTCCTAAAGTGCTGGGATTACAAGTGTGAACCACAGGGCCAGGCCCCAGCTTAGTTCTTCTTGGAAGCAAGAAAACAAACAAAACCAACCAAGGCAATAAATTTAGAAGAGCAACAATTTTGGCTCAAGCCTTAGGGAAGAGCCATGTGTTCGTTCCCTTACACTGCTGTAAATGAGGGGAGAGGGCACTTAAAGAACCTTCTGTTCTTAGCATTCCTAGTGCCCTTCTATCACAGCTATGACAGTTTCAAGGCAGCTTTGCATGTCTAGACCAGGTGCAAAACCGAGTGTGAGGGAAGTAGGGGTGGGCAGAAAGCGAGAAATATGGGTCCTTCACTTTTCCTTGGGATACTAAAATCTATACTCAGTTAGGCATACTTCCTCTCCCTCTTTCAAGTCCCAGCTTCCTATCTGGCCCAGAGTCCAGCTGTTTTCCTTTAGCCTCTTAAGTTCATCACTATCCTTCCTCTTCCTTATGGGAAAGGATCTCTCCATTCAGATCCCAGAGTAATAACGGTCTCAGGAATCGTGAGCAACAATGGTGCAGTGAGGGCTCTCAGGGTATTGCAGCTAGCCCAGATTAAGAAATAAAGATGAAGTCTGGCTGGATAAGACAGGCCACAGCAACGACCCATATCCTGAAGCTGGCTTTGCCCAAGGAGCTCCTGGGCCCCTCAGCCCAGCCCCAGTCGCCAACGCAGCCAACTTGTGACCTCAGTCCGTAAATTCCAGGCAGAACCCTGGAGCTTGGGATTCTCACCTCCGTCCTCACTGTCTCATCCCCATTCCCGGCTCCCGCCTCCGCCGCCCACAGCCTCCAGCCCCAACACCGGCCCCCGCCCAGACTCCAGCTCCCGCGCTCGGCTGCCTGTGCTGCAGCCGCTGCCATGGTGATAGGTCTCGCGAGAACTGCCGCTCGCTACCGCGCAGCTCTCGCGCGATCGGGGAGGTGGGAAGTATCCCGGGCTGGGGGTGGGGGTACACCGCACAGCTCCAGTTGCCGTCGCGGCTTCCGGTGCTAGGTGGAGGGAAGGAAGGAGGGAGCCGGGGAACTGGCCAGGGCAGCAGCCGGGCTGAAGTCGGCTTGGGGAGCCGGAGGGAGCGGAACGGAACCTGCGGGGCGGAGGCGGTGGCCGCAGCGGTGCAGCTGATAGCAGGAACAGGTGAGGGGCTGGGAAGGGAAGGCGGGTCCCCGGTAGAGAAGAGGCTCGGTCCGGGTGAGGGCTGAGGAGATAGAGCGGCTCCCGGGCCCCGCCCGGCACTGCCTGGCGTGGGGCGGTGGGATCCTTTACACCCGAGAGCTCGGAGAGGGGGCGTCGGGACAGCTTCGCGCCTGCCCCAGCATTTGAAGGACGCGGAGCTGGGTGGGGGTGGGGGGCGCACACGGATTTGTCCTCCGCCTCGCACAAGAGGGCGACCTGGGCTGCAGTTAGGTTCTCGGCTGCGGGAGGTGGGCTGTTGAGGGGGAGGAAAACCGTCCAGGTAGAGGTGATGCGGGGGCGGTGATGGCTGTTTGTATCTTTTCTGTTAAAGGGCTAGGGAATGCTGCTTTCTTCTACTTCCTCTCCCTCCCCCACCTTAGCAATAGGAGACCGAAGAGACGCCTTGCTGTGGTTACACCCCCTCCCCCATCATAGGGTAGGGGTGCGTAGGGGGTCTGGGGGATAGCCAACGGGGCAGGCTACTGGGGCACCGCAGGGACGCTGTTCTGGTAGAGGTTGCGCTTTCGAGTCTAGGGAACCGCAGGTTGGGAAGAGGGCAGCAGGTGGGGAGAGGAGGCAGGAGAAGGGGGAAGGGGTTCTGATCTTCCTGGGAGAAGAGAGGTGGGGCCTTCCTCCCCCAGGCGGAGCGGGGGCGGTCTCACAGGAGGAGGGAGCATCTTGTCACTGGCCCTGAGTTTGTGTCTTCCAATCCGCTTTCTTTCTTTAGGAAGTACCAGGATTCCCGGAACAGAAAATGGAGCCATTGCTTACGCGAATCGTTTGAGGGGAGGAGGGGGAGTTGGGGAGGTGGAGTTCCCGGTTAATACGGGCCACCTGATTAGCTGAGTGGTAGCTGTTCTTTTTGGGGAGTTCCCTATTTGATTACTTTATGACGGGTCTCCCATCTGTCCAGGCCAGGAGGAATGTGGTGGTGGAGGTGGAGGATTGTGGTATGTGGTCAGGAGTGAGACGAAATGGTAAGGTCATCCCGGTGAGGGAGAAATGTAACCTAAAACCTGTCTCTGCTGTTGTTGGATTGGGTCACCCCTGGTCTGTGGCATGAAAGTTTTATTGGGAAGAGATCTGCTGCAAGAGTCTGATTGCTTGGGTCAGTGCAACAGGACCGAATCTAGTCTCTGCATACCTCCTTCCCTGTTCTCAATCAGGTAGGTAGTAACAGTCTTTGCTGCCATTTTGTCTTGGGCCTGTTGTTGGGGTAGGTGTCTCCACTTGCCATGAGTTGGGACATGGGACAGTGTTATGGGACAGTGGATTATCATAGCCCATTGGACCTGAGCTCGAAAAACATGTCTGTAAAGTTCATTCTAAGAAACGAACCCATTAAGGTTCAGCTTTTCACAGAATGAATGATTGACCTTGGATTCAGCCAATAAGGGCTCTCATGTATCACATATTCACATGTGTCCTGCTTCCCAGCATGGAATTATTACCTTGCAAAGTTAGAATTTTTATAGGTGTCTATATTGCTTTTCCAAAGAGACTAGAAGCTTTTTGACTACAGGAATTGGATTTCCACAATGCCCATGCAAACAGTGGGTACCTATGATGAATTTAGAATGTGAATAGATAGAACTCAACAAGCTTTCTAACTACAGTTTAAGGAAAGGGCAAGAGATGGTTTGGCTGTCAGCAAAAGTGCCTGGAGATAGCTGAGCAAGGGTACAAAGACCCTTGGCTTCTGTAATAAAGAAGTCTTGGTCTCTCTGCCTTCTTAAGACGGATAGGATAGGCATAGATAATGGAAACTAAGACTCAAAAAGAAAAATATTACTAGAACATAGAGTCATTATCTGTAGTCCCAGATTTCCTGCTTCCCTATTGTGGGCAAAGCGAGCTCTCCATCAGACCTAAGTCCTTCCAAGTGTTAATGAATTGTGATCCTGGAGAGTTTGGAGGAGGGACCGATGTATGTAAGTGTATGGTGTCTGGCACAGAACTGGTACCAATGAATGGTAGCTGCTATTATACTGAATGCAGGTATAAAAAAGAGCAGACAGCAGATTAGAAAGAGTGGAAGTGAGTGAAAAGTGCACAAAGAGTCATATTGTAGTGTGCGTTCATCCACCCTACTCTGCGTGTGTGTGTTGTTTTTTGGGTTTTTTTTTTTTTTTTTTTTTTTTTTTTTTTGCTTAGACTCACTATTTCCTTAGTGCTAGTTAGCAGATACTGAAATGATCTTCCCAGACTGTGCAAAATATGGAACGCTTCAAGAATTTGTGTGTCATCCTTGCGCAGGGGCCATGCTAATCTCTGTATCATTCCAATTTTAGTATATGTGCTGCTGGAGTGAGCACATCCACCCTACTTTTTTACACTAGAGTCATAATAAGAGGAAATGGACTCAGAACAGAGGGTGGGATTTATTGGTTAGGAGGAGGAACTTCTTTAAAACCAGATTGGTTAAAGCTGAGTATGTAACTGAGGGAAACTGGAATCTGCTTCCCTATATACTCTTATTTTTATTCACTTAGGCTGGAGGTCAGTGGTGTGATCATAACTTACTGTGGCCTTGAACTCCTGGGCTCAAGCCATCCTGCACTTCAACTTCCCAAGTAGCTGGGACCACAGGTGTGTGCCACCATGCCCAGCAAATATTTTTTACTTTTTGTAGAGACAGAGTCTCACTATGTTGCTAGGGCTGCTCCTGGCTTCACTAGATCCTCCCACTTTGGCCTCCCAAGATGCTGAGATTGCAGGCATGAACCACCATGCCTGACCTCTCCTCACCATTTTTGTTGCAGGTAAATTTAGAGACAGAATGGTGTAGTAATTATGAATGGATATTGGAATCAGACAAAATTAGATTCAAATCCTGCTTCTGGTAATTACCAGTTGCATGTTTCTTGTAAAATTGCTTGTCCTCTCTTATCTTTATTTTCTTCATCTATAAAAAAGGTAAGGATAGTATCTACCTAATATGATTTTTAAGAGAATTATGATTTTTTTTGGTTGTCAGTAAAATTAAATGAGATAAATGTAAAGCACCAAGTATTGTACAGAGCACATAGTAAGTACCAAATAACTGTTAGCTGCTATTAATAATCCATCATCATAATACTAATAATATTAACACTCAGGGCTGCCTTAGAGGAAAAGGTTTACAAAAGAACAACTTGCTGCCTGAGGTGCTTATGTAGAGGGATGATTGTTACCATGACTTTCTATGCTGGTCGTAGGCTTATGAGCAGCAAAATCTTTTTTCAGCATCAGCTTCACAGAGACAGCTCCTGCTGCCTGAGTGGGAGGAGAAGCTGGAGCAGCAAGGCAGGGGCCCTGAACCATCAATTTGGATGTAGGGTGAGGACATGGGGGCACAAGAATAGTATTCATGTTAGCAAAGTCAGTGTGACTCTGAGATAATGGTTCACTCTTGGAGTAAAGAGCATCCTGATGACCCAGGTCAGGGATTTAGATTCCTGGGTCCCCTTATTTTAGGTCTCGGTCAGTATTTCAGGATCTTCCATTTCATTTAGTTCACTCTTTTCATTTAGTCCAGTCTTTAAAAAATGTCTGCCTTTGAGTATCTGTTTCAAAATATTATGGCCTAGATACTGTGATACCTGTGTGATTCTCTGTGTACCATACCGTCTTCACTGTAACATCTGTTGCAAATATAGATAGAGTGCTAATAAAGCTATTTAATAAAGAAAAGACATGGGGAGCCTTTGGAAAGAGTCCTACAGATGTTTGAAGGCTTCATGTTATAGTCTAGGGAAGAACTGACTAAAGTGGGGATTTCATGAATGTATTAGAGCTTTGTCATGGACTTACGCAAAGGATCTGTCACACCATGTAGACCAGAAAGGAAATGCTCAAGATATTAGAAATCCACCATTATTATCATATTCCTGAAGAAAGTTGAGATGACTTTTATCGTATTCCTGAAGAAAGTTGAGATGAAGAAAGTTGGGTGTGGCAGGTCTCTCGGTACCTTTTAATTCTCCCATTACTGCTGAAGGCCTAGCTTATGCACAGGAGTGTCAAGCATGAATGTTTAAACTTCAGCATGAGCTTAAGATGGTGGAGAGTATTTACTCTCTGTTGAAATGGTTTATGTCCTTTATTTTTTAAAGCAATCAAAGCTTAAATAAAATTTTATTTGAATTCAAATACATAAAATGGACAAAAGTGGAGTTAATGGTGGTGGAGTTAATGGGATATAATTACAGCCTCTCATACAATCTTTTCTCTCTTCAGGAGAGAACCCTAGGGCTCTGAGGACATGGAAACCATTTCTTCAGTTTGTCAGATACAGGGAAAAGGATCAGGGACCACCTATAGAATACTGTCTTCCTCAACCCCACAAGTGTTTTGCCACCCTCAGTAGAACTGTTCTTAACAAGCATGTCAGTCACTAGCTACAGGTCAGTCATTGGTGCTGGATGCTGGGCACGTGAAACACGAATAAGGCATAGTCTATGCTGGCAAAGAGCTCACGGTCTAGTGAGGTGCTTTTCAGCCTTTTAACAATCATAGCATACACAAAAAATGGTAATAGTGAGAACTGAAACCCGAGATGGCTGGCCCAAAGGACTCTAGCCACCCCAAGCCCTGCCCAGCCATCTAGTGGTTGGTAGGGTCAGTATTTCCAGTTGACCTGTAATGCGCTAGAGGCACATTGGGCATTTCCAGCTGTGGAAAGCAAAACAGACAAACGTGAATACTGCAGTAAGTCCTAGAGTAGAAGTGTGTTTGGGATGCTGAGGGATCACAGATAACTCTTATTCCCCGAGTAGGCAGTTCTCTGTTCCTGTGTCCCTAGGCTGCTCTGCCTAATGATGGCCTTGTTCAAATCATGTCTTCCTTGTGTAAGCAGTTTACTGTCAGCTCCATCTTGACTTGCACAGTGGGACCAGATTGGGTGCAGAAGATTATTAGGGGTCTAGGCTGACTATTGGAGTTTCAGTGACTTTGTAATTAGGAATGTATAGTGTTCCGGATATCCAAAACTATAGATGTGGACATTGGATTGGAGCAGCTGTAGAATATCAGGAGTTGTAGTAGTTGTAAGCTGGTCAGATTCTAAGAATAAGGCAAGCTGAAAGCTTTGGGCAGAGGGCAGTGCCACAGAACATTCCATAGAAACAAATGGGTCTAGTTTTTATCTTGTCACTGTTTTATCTGGCTAAGATTCTAAGACCTTGTTCTTTGTTCTGACTCATATGCTGAGGGTTGTCCATGGTAAAAGCCACACCCTTCCCAGGTGTTTCGGATCTCCATTAGACAGGGTGGTTCAGGATCCTTCTTTACTTCATAGCTGTGGCTTCCTTCAGGTTTGTGTGTCCTGGAGTCTTGTCCAGGATTGTTCTTTGACTAGATGGGAAGCTGCCATAACAATTCTGGCCTGAGCCTGAACACCACTAATTGAGTTAAGGGGCCTAATTTAGTTAGATATGTTTTAGTTTGTACCAAAACTATAGCTTTTGCTCCTCCCTCTTTTCTTTTTTATGTTCTGTCATCATTGGTGTCTATGATGTCTTGCTCTCTTAATTTCCCTTCTACCCCTCTGGGTGCTTCTCACTCTTTCCTGGCCGGCTTTTCTGCCCACTACTTTATTTGTTTATTTTTCATCGTTATTTTTTTCAAGACTGAGTTTCGCTCTTGTCACTCAGGCTGGAGTGCAATGGTGCAATCTCAGCTCACTGTAACCTCTGCCTCCTGGGTTCAAGCGATTCTCCAGCCTTGTCTCCTGCGTGTCTCGGATTACAGGAATGAACCACCATGCCTAGCTAATTTTGTATTTTTAGTAAAGACAGGGGTCTCACCATGTTGGCCAGGCTGGTCTTGAACTCTTGACCTCTGATGATCCGCCCACCTCAGCCTCCCAAAGGGCTGAGATTACAGCCATGAGCCAGTGCGCCTGGCTCCTACTGCTTTAAATGTTGATATTATTGTCAGGCAGGTTTCTGCCTTTGCCCTTTTCTCCTCTCCCACTGTGTACACTATACCTAGATATATGAGTTAGGATGTATTAGTTGCAAAAATAGAAAATACATGTGGTTCAAAGGCTGAGAGAATTTTTTTTTTTTTTTTTTTTTTTTTTCCTGATACAGAATCTTGCTCTGTCGCCCAGGTTGGGGTGCAATGACGTGATCTCAGCTCACTGCAACCTCTGTCTCCCGGGTTCAAGCAATTCTCCTGCCTC